CCCAACCTTCTCTTTTCAGTCAATGTAATTTTTTTCTGTCCCTACACTTTTCAGGGTGTAAACACCATGAAGGCAGAATAAAGTCTTTGGATAGTTCAAATGATGTTAAGAAAGCAAATTCATGTGAATATCTAGAAACGCTTCCTAACAATACGGGGTATTGGAGTGGAAGAGTCTTGCTCTATGGAGTGGAAACCTTGCTTGAGTAATTGAAAATGGGACTGGGAATGCCATGGAGATTAAACTATTGAAGCCAACCCTTAAGACAAGATGGTTACCTCTAGCTTTTATTATATTATGTGACTGTATATGTGTTTTAGCAGGTCTACAGTGTTCTAGGTCTGTGGCAACAGCTTCATGAGATGTTTCAGTATATGAACAGGGGAGACAGTCAAAGAAGCCATGTAGATTTCTTACAAGCCATTGAACTATGTAATATATATATATCCCTTTCTTTCTTTCTTCCTGACAGCATAATTTTAAAATGGAGCATGCCATTTGGATATCTGAACAGTAAAAGAACACAAAAAACAATACAATAGACAGACTCTCATTTTCAGCAAAGCCACTTTAAAAAGCTCTATTAGTGTAAAGGAGCCTCTAAGTGAGCATCACGGTAATCTTCATCCACTCAAAGGTCCTTTCCACTGCTAGAACAGCATAAAGTGGCTTCAGTATCAATGAAAATCAGGCCCAGGCTGTTTAATGGACCATTTCCACTACTGTTACGACCCAAGAGAATGACAGTCAGCTCAGCAATGAAGCACCTCCTATTGGAGGGATGAGATATTAGGATTTAGGGCAGTGATAGGCGCCCTTTTCAGGCTGCAGGCTGGAATGACACAGCTCAGGTCAGAGGTACCACTGAAGCCCCATGTCTGCAGGGAGCATTGGGTTTCATTAACTTTAGTGTCTGTCCCCTGATCATTGGGCAAAGGATGTATCCTAGATGCACTCCTAAGGAAGATATTAAAATTGGTTTACCTGGAGGGCCATAAATTGTTAATCTCTGGAATAGGGAGTTACTTGGCTAGTCATCTTTGAGAGTTTTGCTGTTTGGTCCCAACTAGTACAATGGTTTATTCCTATGGGGGCCAACGTTTTTTGGCAGGTGTGCCATAAATTTAGCCTTGCACCCTCCCAAGTGATGCTGTGATACCTTTTCTGTACCTGATCTGCAACTTTGCTTTCTGCTTCCTGCTCTGTGCTCTCTGTCTGATCCCTACCTCTACTGCCTATCACCTTCCTACTCTGCTGTGTGCTACACATGGGGACTGTACATGCTTCTTGTGGTATGCTTAGCACAGATTGGCCACCCCTGGTCTATTCTCTTCCTAGAAAAAGGGACCTTTGTAGCTGGCTATCAAAACCTTTATTATTCTGATTCTCATGTCTTACACAACTGCTTTTGGCCTTATCTTCTTCTCACTTATATCAATGTAAAAATACCTTGATTTCATTGAGGTCCAAATGTGGGCTCTCATAGGTGCATCCCTCCTTTCTGTACTGCCTTATGGTGCCCTGCCTTGTTGGATGGTTGCCTGATGAAGGGACACTGTCCCTCTCTGTGCCCCTGGCTAACGCAATTCAAAGGATTTGTGGAATACACAATGTTTTTATGAGAGACAGTGAGAGCTAGTTTGGGGAGCATGTGCAGCCTGTTCTCACTGCTTATTAATATAGATTCCTTCACACTTTCAGGTAGGGGGCATTAAGTACCACAAATGCACTTGTACTGATGTGGTTGCTCTGGGTATTGTCATGGGAATACAGCAGGAATCAGCAAGGAAAGCAATCCCCCCATTGTAGCAGCCAATAGTGAAATGTGTAAAATTACTTTGGTCTTGTCTATTTTCTCCCAAGTCCTTGGTTATCTTCTCTTCTCATTACCTTTCTGTCTCCCCCACTTACCCACCTTCTGTTGTTCAGATTTTCCCCGGCAGCTCTGAGCCAGTTGCTTCTTGAGCATGCAGTGTTACTGTAAGCCTCATTTAATTGTAGTGGAGGAAGCAGGTCCTTGTTTCAGGCACAGCTCCTGAGTGTTTAAATCCTATCTGTTCTCTCTTTCAGGTACCTGATTAATGTCACCTTTGAAGGGAGGAACTTGTCCTTCAGTGAGGACGGCTACCAGATGCATCCCAAGCTGGTCATCATCCTTCTGACCAAGGAGAGGAAGTGGGAGAGGGTAGGACATGTTTGGTAACTCTCAAACTGGATTTGGGAGGAGGGTGGTGAAGGCCCTCATCAAGTTGACCCCTCATTCTTCATTACTTCTCATCAAAGGGATGGCTAGCTACTTACTGCCACTGAGGATGGATCAGGGGTAAGTGGAGTCTGGTGTATCCAGTGACACAAATGCACCATCTCCTTAGTGCGGAGCTCCATTCCATATGTATGTTAGTTTTTAGAGCCTTCACTCATAGTTCCCTTCAGCATCAGTTTTCCTGTCCTATATAGCAGTTTGCAGCCCAGCACACCAACCCCTTGTGAGAGTGGGGCAAGGAACATCCGAGTGAATGCAGATGGTCTAATGAATCTTTGATCTTTAAGCTCTTTGTGGTAAGGGTCATAAAGTACCATGAATGAGCTCATGTTAACATAGTGGTTACACACATGCATATATTGCCATCACCAATTTATATGCCCATCCTGCCTGTATGGTATGAGAGCTTGAACTCGTGACCCTCTGCATTGAAATCATAAGCCCTTTCTAGCTGGAAGAGATACTTTGTTAAACTGTCCTTTGTTTCAAGTTTTAGCCCTCCAGCCAACAGAAAGCCAGAAATACATTTTGCAATGGAACAGCTTATTAGCCAATTTCCACTCTGCGTGTGATTGTAGGCAAATGTTTAATGAGATAATTTGCATGGTTCTAAATAGTTTCCATTCAAAACTAAGCTTTGTCTTAAAAAGGCTAGGGATTTCATACTGGAGGAAGACTTTGGACTATTGGAGTTAGGGCAGGAAGGAGCTTCGTGACCAACAACAGTGCTCCACCCCTCAAGGGAAGTGAAGAGGCCAATAAAGGTTCTGACATCAACTGAGTATGGCGGATGAATTGAGGACCAGAAAGGGATGAGGTAAAAGGTGCTGTATAAGAGAAGCAGAAAATCCTACACAGTGCCTCCCTGAAGGCAGTGGAAGAGTCAGTGGAACCAGGAGATTCTGCCCAGCAGTATTCTGGATGTGTCCATGGGTAAAGCATAGAAAATTGGCCTTCCCACACGGTGACCTTTCAATGGCTGGACTCCCACTGTGTAGGCAGCTTGGCTAGTGTGAGGAGGAGATTGTCTGGATGCTATGCAGTCTACTTGGAGGGTTTGTGGTGGACAGTCAAGGGCTTATGTTGGTAGGATACGACACTAAGCTCTTGAGAGCCAGAAGAAATGGCTAGGTGAGACCCACCCACTTTTAGAGGACCCACCACGAGAACATGAGGGGCAGAAGACTGGGTGGCTTTTGCCAGATAGATCACATGGTTAGGGATGCTGGAAAGAGGCACTACCAGGTCTGCCCACTCTTATCAGCTGTGGACCACGAGGTCTCTGGGAGTGGCTGGCTCCAATGCACTCCATTAGCTGAGCAAAGAGGATGAAAGCTGTACAGCATGGGTTGCTTTTGGGGGCTGTAATGTAGTTGTGGAGACCAGTTTCCAGGTCCTGAGGAGGCCCTAGTGAAGAGCAGGAGCTCAGTCAAGTCCTGGGTGTGTCCCTTCAGGTCACAGTAGGAGAGCTGCCATTTTTACAGGTGTACCAGAGTCTCGGGGGGTGATGGGAAGGGAGTGTAAGAAAACACCATGCCAGCATATGAGGCCTTGGCCTTGGCTTGGTAGCCCTGGAGAATCAAGTCCTGAATTTATCTATGGGGCAGCAGCAGGCAAGAGTCTCATGGACATTTTCCCTACCTCAGGTCTCTGAAGGGAAGATAATGTTTCTCAGTGGTAACAGAGGTAGCTCAATCTCTAAGGCTCAGAGAGGTTTTGGTCTCTCTGCTGGGCTTGCCATTTAGTAAAACTTGCTGCTGAATTTGAGGTGTGGGACCTGGAACAAGCTTACCCAGCCCAACCCAGACCTAGTGACTACCACACATTCATTATGCAGGGACAGCTTTTCATCCCTACCAAGCTGGATTCAAACAAGTGACCTTCAGGTGAAGCACTCTATCTGATTTAGCAGTACCCTCAGGCATTGGGCTCCCAAGAAATGCTAATGTTTTACTTTCAAGAATAGTCTGGCTTCCTGGAAGCAGAAGGGCATATATAGAGTCCCCTCTCTCTCTCTCTCTATCTATCCCTATATATAGAGAGAGAGAGTACTAAACTGATTGGATGTAATACAGACTGGTTCTTTCATTTACTGGATAAGCAGGGAATTTTTTTTCTGTGTGGCACTTTGGTATGGGCAGGCAACTTCAGTAATGCAACACTCCCCCTTGCTCTTAAATCAGCACCTTCCATTAACCAAAACATAAACAATAATAATTAATGAATAGAAAAGGTTTTTTATGGCAGGGCCATTTTTTTGCTTTATATTTAGAGAAAAGGGTCCTGGGTCCTGTGTGGGGCTCCTAGGTCTCATTAAAATACAAACAAAAAGTTATAACAACAAATACTAATGGAATGGCTAAACTTATGTCTAAATTGGATGTTTTGCAGTGTAAAATCATTAAAAACTGTCACAGGTATTTCTTATTCTCCTTTAACAGGGAGTCCTATTGTTATACCTACATCTATAACGTACAAAAGAAGTTACATTAATAGAAAATTAAGGCCCTGAAGTCAAGCACTTGAAAGTTCAGAAATGCCATGTTTAAGGCTGCAAATGCAATATTAATTCAACCCACTTGTGTGAATGCATTATAGCTCAGACCTTCATTACATGTTCACTTTTTTCCCCCCATAACTTGCATAGAGGTCATAGGATGGATGTGAACTCTTCCTCCCAGCAAAGAGGACAAATGCAGGAACCTGTACAGTACCTGCCATAAAGCCACCTTTTTGGCGTATCAGTAATAGTCCCCCCTGAAGACTCTTAGTGTTCTGAGCACTGGTGAGGCCCTAGTGGAGGCATAGCCAGAATGGTCTGGCACCCTGCCAGTTCCTTGCTGGTGGAAACTGCCTAGGGGCAGTGGCAGTGTTTTTAGCACAGGTTGGGCCAGCTTTTTCCTCTCTTGAACTAGAGCTGTGGGGGGAACTTTCTGACAGAAGACAGTTTTGTTGGTTCACCAGAACCAAAATGCTTTGTGAAATTATACTTGGGACAATTTGACAGACTTCCAACAAATCATAGGCAGATTCTGATGAAGCCAGCTTGCTTTTCCTGCTTGTCCACCTGGCAGGGTTTCAGGGGAACCAGAGATTCTGGGGCAGATCTACCATGTGCATGGCTCCAGACCAGGGAACCTGGGACATCCAGAATCTTAGGTCAGCTGGCTTCCAACCTGAGCCATATTCCCATAACCCGGGGGGATTAAGAGGATGGGGCAGCTGTCCCAGGAGTCATACAGACCAGGAAATCTTTCTGTTTGGGAAATTGGAAGCCTGGGGGTTCTCCAGACCCATAGAAGTCTGTGGGGCAAGGCTGCCCAAGAGCTGGGAAGCCCTGGCAGCGGACTGCTGTTGACATTATTCATGTCCCCTTCATGGCTGCCCACCACTGAGAACTAAGAATCGGACAACGGGTTTGGCAAGTTGGTGTCAGTCAGCAGCTGCTGAGATTGGAGGGGGGGCCTCTTTCTTTTTGGAGACACCATGTTCTTGTATTTCCAAAATGAAATGTGGGATTTCAGTTATGGGAGGTGTTTTCAATTTTTTTTTTGAGATTTTAGTTTGTCATCCTAATGTGGGATCTTGTTTTTTTTCAAAAACTCACCAATTATTTCAGAATGGGAGTTTGATTTCCTAGCAAAATCTTGGTTTCTCGGGTCTGGACACACTAATGAATCTCCTCCTGTGTCTTTAAGAGAGACTGAAGCTACATAGGGCTTGCAGTCATGAAAGAACAACCATAGCAACCATTTTCTGGAATAGATCTGTGTTCCTGAGCTCCCTAGCTATTGTAGTCACAAGCTGTATTTACTGTTGTCATAAGTAAATGTTCTGCATTCAGTTCTTCTGACTCATTTTTTTTAAACACTTTTTTTTTGAGGGCAAAAGACACATTTTTTTGAGGGCAAAAGTTCACAGTACTAACATGGCATGAACTCTCTTTTTGCTTTTTAATTATGCAGTTAGTAAAGATCCCTCTCCACTGGCCAGCCTTGCTTCCCTGTGCAGCCTTGTTTAACGTGCACCAGCACCTCAACCAAGACTCAGATTGGGATCCTAAAGTGTTTGCTAACCATAGGGCTGATTCTCTGTTGTCTCAGGGCTTCTTTGGTTTGACCCTGAGGGACTGCAGTGCAACCAGAGTCCTGAGGGAATACATGTGGTATGACAAGCCCTCTTTGTCAAGCACAGAATGACCTTGTTAGCTTTTCAACCACTTGCAAGAGCCCATATCACATCTGTGTTGGCCATAGATGATTTGACACCGATATTAGGAGGAAGCAAATTTATCCTTCAGTCCCTGTGAAGGTCTCTCTATCACTGCAAGGATAGACTGGGGCCAGAGGTGCTGTTGCAGGGTTGTCCATAGCCACTTACATACCTCAAACTAAGAAATGAGTGCAGGCAGATGAAAAGTTACTGCTCATGGTGAATAGGACACATGTAGCAGGGGTGCACTTATGCTCTAGTGGGCTCTCACAAGCCATATCGGAGTGCTTCTGAGCTGCCAGTTAGGAGATGGCTTCCCTGTGCCGTAGGGTGAGTAAAAAATGAGCTGACTTTACTAACCTGAGTCATTAGACGCTAAGCAGAATTGAGATCTGCTGAAAGTCACGCTTTGTGTTTTCTGCAGCAGGAAAACCAGCAGTTGCTGCTTATAAAGTAGCACTGCTGTGTTCTACATTGAGCATCCAGCTTGGGCAGTTATTGCTGAGAATTATATGCCTGTTATAGAATAAGGTGGTACCTCTCTTGATATGTACCTCTCCACTTCACACTGACACTGTCAGCCTGCACAGTGCCAGTGAATTAGAGGATCAAACACAATAGAAATTAGAGCGGGTTATTAGGTTATACAGCCCTTTGTTACTATGGCAAGTGCAGGTTTTTTCCCGCATTAGCACTCACTCCTGTGCTGT